ATTTAGTTGTGTTTCTAAAAAAAAAAAACAAAAAACAAATTTACAGAAATTCTTATTTAGTTTTCTGTTTTTTTGTGATTGCAATTTTGATTGTATTTTTTTTTTGGCCTTCCATGTTTAACTAAACGTGGATGTTGGTTTTTTTCATGAGTAACAACCATCAAGGCTGTTGAAAAATATTTTTTGCACACAGGACAAGAGAGTTTTGTGTATTTGTCTTTAGTGATGAAGGGACAATGTTCATCATAACCTGGTATTTTTCCCTTGTCATAGTACTCTAATAGATGAATCGAGTTAACATAATGGCTGTCTTTTCCCATTACAAGAGGTGGAAGAAAGCCATTATTAGTAGCAAGAAGATCACTAGCCTCATTACATTGTTTAGGCAAGCAACATGTAATGTTATTACACTTTTTAACATCTAAAGAGTATTTACAAATTCTTGTATATGTTTCTATCTATTTCCAAGGCACATTATAATTATCAATATTATTTTCCAACCCTGGAAACTCAACATTCGGAAATGAAATGTTTTCTATATCAACATACTCAGTTATAACTGGCTTTCCAAAAATAGGGTCTCATTTTCATCTATTACAAAGAAGATCGCTCGCATATTTGAAATTTTTTTTTGCAAGCTCCAGATCAACGACTTTACCTTGTGAGTTAAGGTGGAAACCGTAATGGTCCACAGGTAAAACTATACCTGCAAGTCTGTTTGAAAGTGGTGCCATGCTCCTTTCAACAGGATTGTATGCCGATTGGCCTTGGGTAATAATAGGACAAATAATGATTAGTTTACTAATTGATTAATATTTGTTAGTTTGCTAAAGGTTTCTAATTAATCAATATTATAATTACTATTTTACACTAGTCAAAGTTAAAAAAAATTCAATTTGATGAATGGCATTCGAATTATGCCATTCGGACATTTGAATTTTTTTTAATTTTGACTGGTATTTTGGTATAAATTATAATTTTAATCAAAATAATTAGTCAACTTTTATTTGGTTAAAATACAGTCTGATCTTGATATAATCACCAAATTGGGAACAAAAATTTGATGATTATAAAGTTGTAAATATATTATAATGAGGTTTGACTATATTTTAATCAATCATTTTACTAAATAATTTGTCAATTTTATTTAGTTACTAATCTGAAGCATGAGTCCTAACAGTCAAATAGTTCAAATCAAAGGAACGGAACATGTTGCAATATTGGTAAATATTTTTTAAGTGGCAGGGATTTTTATCTGGACTCCCATCTACAGTGAGAACCCAGATAGGTCTAATTTTATTATCAACCTTTAGCCTATTGTCGAAATGGCTGTTATTTACTAATGACTGTAGATCACTCATATGCGTCATAGCACTTGTTTCTATTTCATATTGTAAACAGATATATATTGACAGTTGACTGCTTCTAAGAGTGTCATTTGTATTATTTGGATCAATCAAGAGATAAACGGAAGGAATGAGCTTCTGTTTCGAGCCAACAGGGAAATCATGATCTGGAAGAGTTGTTGGCTCATTAGCACTTTGTATGGCTTTGAAAGTTTTGCCAACTGCAGGAATGCCGAGTGGGATTTT